GTACGAGTGTACGCGCTATTAAATTCGCTACACTGAATAAAAAAGTGTCATTAAATAAAAGATATATTTTGTTAATTCAAAGAGTTATTCGACTCAAATGAAATTCGAATAAATTGAATGGAACGTTTCCTCGGAATTATAACAATTTATTTGAGTTTATTTGAGTCTAATTACTCTTTGAATTAACAATGTGTTTCTTTGATTCAATGAATTTTCTTTTTTTTTTGTCACTGTATTATTAGCGAATTAGCCCGATTATACGCGTTATTGCCCGCGCCATTGTTCGTGAGTCTATTGTGTGATTCCACGGTAATTATACGTGCCATTGTTGGCCTACTATACACGCTACTGTTTACCTTATTGTTTAAATCTCTATTGGTTCGAGTTTATACGTTACTATCCTGTGATAAAAATTTCATTGAAACGAAGAAATATTTCTTTGAGTAACATTAAGAAGATAATTTCTTCATTAGAAGAATAATTGTTTAACATTCGGAATCGTGACAATTTGTTTTTTTTTTCAGTTTATTCCAGTCAAAGAATTATTCTTTGAATTCGGTTTTTCAATTTGAATTATTCGTTAGTCCAATGAACTTTTTTCTCAGTGTATATGTGCCAGTATTAAATTAAATTCATAGTTATACTATAAGGTTATAGTCAAAGGAGCACGATGTTTATACTTTTAACAGTGTAGTTCAACTATACGCGTTGCCGCACCCTCCGCTATTCATGTGATTTTATTGTTCGTTATTATACGAACCACTATTAGCACGATTATATGCGTTACTATATGCGGCACTAATAGTGCGACGCGCCCGGGAATGAGAACGCCATACTCTTACCATTAAAGCGATTCGCTGCGAAATGGGAATGCTACTGTACGCGCGATTACGACAGACGTGACGAGGAAGAGAGGCCACGACTACATTCGACGTTGCAGGAGAAAAATTAGTTCAACTATCCCGGAAACACGTGAGAAACTAATTTACCGGTGTTTTAACAATCGGCGCGAAGCTCCCGGAGAAATGCTCTCGGAAGGACGTGCGTGACGAGAAATTAAGTCCCGAAGGATTCGTAACTATACGTGACAGTGTTCACGGGAGTTTTAAAATGACAAATCCTGGGAAAAGTTAAAAAAAAGTTACGTGTGCATTGAAAAATGATTAACATTCGGACAAGTGTACAAAAGCGAGGGAAGAAAATCGCGGGAAAGAAGGAAACGGCGACGTGACATTCTGTTTATAGGAATATTGACATCGAACGAAAATACGAAAATATGAAAATTCGAAAATACGAAAATACGAAAATGCGAAAATACGAAAATACGAAAATGCGAAAATACGAAAATACGAAAAGTCGAAAATGCGAAAATGCGAAAATACGAAAATTCGGAAAGGTGAAAATACGAAAATGCGAAGAAGTGAAAATTCGAAAATATGAAAAACGAAAAATGTTGAAACGGTAGAACCGCAAACGCTTTACAGCGACGTCAAAATGAATTTCCCGGGAAATGGTAGCCGGAGCGCGTTAAACCCACGTTCCGCGCCGTAAACGACCGCGAAAGTCTCCGGACGGCGAGGAGTCCGCGTTGGGAGATAATTTCCACTTTTTACGCTTCTCTCGGAGTTCACGCTCGACTGGCCGGGCGTTCGCACGATAGACATCAGGGTTCAAGAGCACTACGTAATAGCGCGGCTGAACGCGAGTCCGTAATACCACGGGTGCTGCGCGCCCGCCGGATTTAGGTGACCTCCTTGGGAAACTGTCTCTCTTGCGGCAACCAACGTGGAAATCCTCCCATGGCCTCGAGGAGGCCTCCGGACGCGGCCCTCTTCGCTCTAGGAAAACGGGAAATGCGACCTCCCCGGGAGAAAAATCGGAAATGGTAAGGGGGGGATATGGGCTAGGGGCCGCCATTTTGTTATCCATTAACGCGTTAACACGAAGGAGCTCCCAAGGAACTTGCAGAGATCCTCGGTGTAAACGTAATGGCGTCCGCCATGTTGGATTTCGCGCCCTCATATTTCTTCGTTTATCGTCGCGTTTTTCTTATTTCTATTTCTTTTTTTTCTTTTTCCCACGCCTTTCGTGTTTCTCCCTTCGCTAATCTTCGCGTGAGTTCCTTTCGTCTTTGTTGGGGTTTCTTTCGAAGCCTTTTGCGCTTCTCTTTTCAGCAATCTCGGAGTTATTTGCTTCGTTTCTTATCGCGTTTGTTTCTTTTTTTTTCCCAACTATTTGCGTTTCTTCCTTCGTTAATCCTCGCGTGATTTCCTTTCCTCTTTGTTGCGTTTTCTTACATACTCATTTGCGCTTCTTTTTTACATGTATCTTCGCGCGATTTTTCTTATTAATCTTCGCGTGATTTCCTTTGCTCTTTATTGCGTTTTCTTACAAGCCCATTTGCGCTTCTTTTTTTCACGTATCTTCGCGCAATTTTCCTTATTAGTCTTCGCTCGACTTTTCTTCGTTCCTTATCGCATTTTTGTACCACCTTTTCGTTTATTCTTCATCAATCTTCGCGTTATGTTCTTCGTTCCTTATTGCCTTATTTCATCCCTTGCGCGTTTCTTTCTTTAATAATCTTCACGTGATTTTCTTCGTTCATTCATGTATCACTTCGTTCTACAATATATTCCATTTTTTATTTCGTTTTCCATCTCTCTCTTCGCCCCTCTTCGCGGTTCTCTCGCTCTTCACGTTTGTACTTCGGCATTAACAGTAGATTACAATTAGCACATTCGAGTTCGCTGGGATCCCCAGAATTCCCCAGAATCCCCCCGAATTTCCTCGAATTCCCCAGAATTTTCCCGAAATCCCTAGGATCTTCCTGAAACCCCCAGGATTTTTTTTAACTCCCCTAGACGTGCCGCGGCGGATAATCTTCCAATTCCGCCGGCGGAAATCGCGCCGGCACAGGAGTGGAAATTTTACGGGGATTCCCAGGAAGGAACGCGAATTCCTTGGTTATGGTGGAGGGAATGAGTGGAACTATGAAGGAGGAAGAAGGAAAGCAGGAGAGGGGATGAGGCACCGTTTATACAGAACCCAGGCAAACCATGAAGTAGAATATACGTAAATTAGTCGTCCAAATTAGGTCTATAGGTATAGCAAATGTATATCGTCTATCATCCACCTAAAACAATATCTAAAGGATATATATAAATATCCATGGGTTGTATTCGAATCGACTGATTCGGGGGGGGGGGGGGGGACTTCACTTCACCTTAACGATCTAGCGTATGCTCGTCATAACGATGAGGCATGCGCGGCCAATTAGCGATTAAGCGAAAGAATAATTTATGCCCTATCTATCGCGGCGAACCGGAAGGGTGTCGGGCCAGAAGAAATTTGCATACGCAAGATTGCGCGGTTAGGTGATTGACTGTGGGAAAATCGGGTCGTTAAAATTGCTGGATAGGTACACTGGGAGACATCAATGCCCTCCCATCCTGCACAGGCGATGCCGTATCTGCAGGGGAGGCATTTATGTCCGCCATTGTACACTGGGAGACATCAATGCCCTCCCATCCTGCACAGGCGATGCCGTATCTGCAGGGGAGGCATTCATGCCCGCCATTGTACTTTTCTTTTTCTTTCCCTTTTTTTTTTGCAATTACGGCGGATATGGAGTCCTGGGAAAAATTTGGAGGTTAGAACGCGGATGGGAAAAGTACTTGCTCTCGCGGGCATAAAAGCATTTGCATCGATAACAGGATTGTTGGTTCATATATAGAATTATTTATGGCTATATATGAACAACCACGTGTTTGGATGATATTAATACACATCTCCCTCAATTTATGCGGAAGTATCCGTTCCGCGCCGATTTGTTTAATGCGAATGGAAATTTTTGTAAATACAGTATGGCGGTATAAAGGAGAGAATATTGGTAATTAATGCTAGGACGTATATATTTTAGACATACGTGTTTATTTCACTGATCAGTTAATATTATTAAAATTGCTGGATAGGTACACTGGGAGACATCAATGCCCTCCCATCCTGCACAGGCGATGCCGTATCTGTAGGGGAGGCATTCATGTCCGCCATTGTACTTTTCTTTCCCTTTTTTTTTCCAATTACGGCGGATATGGAGTCCTGGGAAAAATTTGGAGGTTAGAACGCGGATGGGAAGAGTCCTTGCCCTCGCGTGCATAAAAATATTTGCATCGATAATAGGTTTGTTGGTTCATGTATAGAATTACTGATGGCAGTATATTAACAACCACGTGTTTGGATGATATTAATACACATCTCCCTCAATTTATGCGGAAGTATCCATTCTACGCGGATTTGTTTAATGCGAATGGAAATTTTTGTAAATACAGTATGGCGGTATAAAGGAGAGAATATTGGTAATTAATGCTAGGACGTATATATTTTAGACATACGTGTTTATTTCACTGGTCAGTTAAGAGGATATGAAAGGCGCTGAAGAATTTAATCGACGTCTATAAAGTAATATTCATCGGTGCCCTTTTTGGTGGTAATGACGTTTTGAATGCTCAAGTGGTAACATAAGCTGCCGCGTCCCGTTACCGACATTTATGTTTATGTCGAAGTCTTTTACAGTCTACGTTGAGAATTATACGAAATGCAGCGTTTCATATGTCATTTCGGTAAAGTAATGATAAAGAGATCGATGTAAAACTGCCGAAATCCCGTGAATTCATTATTCTAACTTGCAATTAATGGTGAATATATTTCTCATATTTTCCCATATGACTGTAATATTCCATTTCTACGGTATTCCAAATTGTTCGAGCTAGGTCCTGAAACTCTTCATTTTCGATTCTAAGCCTCCAGGAAGCGTAAAACATCGAAAGCGTGCCCGGACCCCGCCATGTTGGTTCTAGTCCACGATAAGTAAATAATTTTTTTTTTATGAGAAATGTAATTTCGCGAGTTTCAGGACTTACCTTAGGGTCTCCATATTCACGTTTTAAAGTATGAAACGATTTGACACACCCAGTTCTATGAAAAGTTTTATGAACGATCGAGCTTTCGGATGCCACTTTCACATCCCCTTAATTTGATGTAATTATATTATATTTTACTCACTGGTCTTCCCTGAGGGGCGTCTGCGACTTACCTGGAACAGAAGGAGAAATTCATGAGAAACTCGAGGGGGGATAAAAATCGGTATCTTTTAACGATCGATAAGTAATGAGAACGATAAGGGGAAGGATAAAGAGCGGCTCCGCCGGGGAATTCCTGCAGATCCCTGGCAGGCTTCGCATCGGCCTGAAATCGGTAAAGTCGGGATCGTTAGTGGTCGGTAATAGAGGGGTGCGCACAGGGGAGAGAAAACCGTCCAGGACCGCGCAGGACTTAATGGCTCCTCGGCCAGAAAGTAATAAATCCGGGAACGATGCACTATTTGAACACCCCTTAGGCCCATCCATTATACGAACACCTCGCTCGTTTGTCCAGTTTTCCCACGGGGATGTTTTATTCACGGAAAAAGTGGGGATAATGAAACGAAAAAGGATTTAATGTGCGACCATGGATCGGCCTAATTATCGTTCCACGTTGCATAAATATTTATTTCTTCCGGAGTTGACAGTCCCGTTAGGCGTTTCTTTTAAGTTACTGCACGGCCAACGTGGAATATACGTATATTAATCGTATATTAATGTTTATTGAACGTATGGAAGATATGTATAGATATCTATAAACTCTATTTTTGATATACTCAAAGGCTAGATGGTATGGATATGGTACGTAGTATATACATATATCGTAGATATCTACAATAGATGGTCTATAGATATTCGTATGCATTTGTAAAAAAATTTAATTCGTAACACTTTTTGAACAGAGTCTGCTTGAAAACTTGTTCGGTACAGCTGTGCAGACAAATCCTGCTGGTTTTGACACGGGAAATGTACATTTTGTATGCGTCATTAAAAAAGGAGATATTTGTAGAGCAATGGTGGATATATCATTTTCATCTACAATATATATCCTTTAAATATTTTTTTATGCGGATGATGGATGATGTACATTTGCTATATCTATAGACCTAATTTGGACAATTAATTTACGTACATTCCATTTCATGAGCTGCATGGGCTGTGATGTCACTGCAAAATCCATCCACCCATAAAATCTAACACTTTTCATTTGAAAAACTCAATTTTTAAAAAATAAGTCCATCCTGACGTCACTTCAAAATCCATCCACAAAAATGAACAAAATTTTTCGGAGCAGCTTAAGGTACAACCGAAGTCATTCGATTCGGAGATTTCGATGCGCGAAGGTGGATCTTCCAAGTAATACTCAGGGAGCCTAAAATCTAATAACACTTTTCATTCGAAAAAATTAACTTTTTCAAAAATAAGGTCCATCGTGACGTCACTTCAAATCTATAAAAAAAAAATTGAATAAAAATTTTTCGGAGCATCCTAAGGTCCAACCGCAGTCATTCGAGTCGGAGATTTCGATGCGCGAACGAAGGCGAAACTTCCAAGCAATACTCAAGGAGCCTAAAATCTAATAACACTTTTCATTCGAAAAAAAATGAACATTTTAATAATAAGGTCCATCGTGACGTCATTTGAAAATCCACCCATAAAAATGAATGAAGTTTTTCGGAGCATCCTAAGGCTCAACCGCAGTCATTCGAGTCGGAGAATTCGATGCGCGAACGAAGGTGAAACTTCCAAGCAATACTCAGGGAGCATAAAATCGGTTCGACTCGGTGATCCCCTTAAACCCCTCGGGGAAGGTCTCCGGCAGTTTCTCGAGCTCGGGGCGCGAAAAGTAAGAAATCGCCAGAGCTTGAGGGAAAATCTCGCCGCGGCGATCGCGCGGAAAGATGGCGGCCAAGGAATCGGTGAACGAGCCAGGGTTCGACGAACGAACCACCTCGAGAGCCCATCTTTGCCGGGTTCCAGAGGTTCGCCGTTCTTTCGCTTACTCTAATAACAGACGATTGCACCTACCGCCACGCTTCTTGCCTCCCTTGCCTTCCTGGAGCCTCCGACGCCATTTTCTTCCCCGCCATCTTTTATTTCCTCTCGGGAACGCGGATCGATTTTGCGAAGCCGCTCCATTTCGGCCAATTCTGAACTTTCAACGTCTCTCTCTCTCTCCTTCTTTCTCACATTTAAGGTGATATGAAAGGCGCTGAGAAATTTAATCGACCTCGGTAGATTTATATTCATCTATACCCTTTTTGGGGTTACGCCATTTTGTCACGTTACCGAGATTTATGTTTATGTTCAAGTCTTTTACAGTCTACGTTGAGAATTATGCGAACTGAAGCATTCCATTACGTCATTTCGATAAAGTATTGATAAAGAGATCGACGTAAAACTGTGGAAAATCCCGTGAATTCAGGACTTTTGATCCTCTAATGTACCGACAGCGCCATCTGTGACGTTTAGCTGCAACTAAATTTTTTCTCTAAAAACAAACGTTGCCCACAGAACGAGCCAGCATTCTCTTGCAATTGTTTGCGAAAGTATTTTCCATATTTTCCCATATGACTCTGTAATATTCCATTTCTACGGTATTCTATATTGTTCGAGCTAGGTCCTGAAACTCTTCATTTTCGATTCTCACCCTCCAAGAAGCGTAAAACATCGAAAACGTGCCCAGACCACGCCATGTTGGTTCTGGTCCGTCATAAATAAATAAATTTTTGATGAAAAATGAAATTTCATGAGTCTCAGGATTTACTTTAGGGCCTTTATATCCACGTGGTCCAATCTGAAACGAATCGGTACACCCAATTCGGAGAATACTTATATGAACGATTTGACATATATATATANTATATGTGCCCATAATTATGAAAGTGGTCTAAGTCAAAATTAAAAAAAAATGAATTTATCAGTTATTTCACGCCATATTATTTCAAACGAGATTAATTCAATGTAATTTCGAAACAAAAAATATATGACTTAGACCACTTTCATAATTATGAGCACATATCACCTTAATATGATATAAAAGGCGCAGAGAAATTCAATCGACGTCGATAAAATAAAATTCATCTAATACTTTCCCGAACGATTTGACCTCTCAAATGCATCTAGGCTGATTCTTTCATATCACAGAGAGAAAAAGTGCATTTCCAATTAATCCGTTTGCTGTATTTATTTAATTTATTTTATCGCTGGAATTCTCCACTTTTTCCGACCTCGAGGTATATCTTGAACTCGGACTTAATTACAAGTACCGAGGATTCCCGTCACGTATCGTTTGCACTTGCTACTTCTCGTACGTTTCTCTGACAAGTGGATAATGAGTTTCACCGACCCGCCCCTTATTATTATTATCGGTATGTATATATACGTGTACGCATATGGAGCGCTCCTCGACTTGAGAAGATTCCGAGACGAGGGAAAAAAGAAAAAGAAAAAGGAAAAGACTTCCGCGGATTGTGAACGCCGGGATTTATAATTGCCTGTTAAAAATTACAAATTATGGGGAGAATTTTTTTATCGCTAATTAATAAATGGGAGGTAATAAGTAAGGAATATGTAGAGGTCCTCGGGGTACAGTTACCTCTCCCATGTTGGTGCACGTAACTGTTGTTACAGTGCCGATTACATATCAATGTCGCTGTTAATTAATATAGGTGTGAAGATTGTATGTTCGTTCCCTGTTAAAAGTGTTCATTAAATTTGGGGACTCTTAGAACTTATGACTATAGCAAAAGAATAAATTTCATATCAGGGTTGATGAATATTATTTCTTTGAAAAAAATTAAATATCACGATTAAAATCACGATTTTTTGTTTGTAATCACGTATAAAAGTTTGTTAAAATCACGATTAAAATAACGAATTTGTTTAAATTGTAATAAAAATTACGATCAAAATAACGAATTTTGTTAAATATCTTAATTATTTAAATAAACTTCTCATTTATGAGATCAGGGTAAAATCGACATTAATCAAAACTTGTCATAATTTGTTAGGTTAAATAAATTGTAATAATTGTGAAGGAATGTTGCATCCAATTATAATCGAGTTTATTTGCGTTAAATAATTATCCTTTTGAGTCAACAAAATATTCCTTCAGTACTATTAAAGAAATGTTTAATTTGTTTAAATCGTGATTAAAATCACAAATTTGTTTAAATCGTGATTAAAATCACAAATTTGTTTAAATCGTGATTAAAATCTCGAACTTGTTTAAATCGTGATCAAAATCACGAATTTGTATAAATCGTGATTAAAATTACGAATAAAATCGCGAATTTCGTAAAATATCTTAATTATTTAAATAAACTCATTTATGAGATCGGGGTAAAATCGACACTACTCGAAACTTGTCATAATTTGTTTCCTCAAATAAATTGTAACAATTATTAAGGAATGTTGCCTCCAAATTGAATCGAGTGCATTTGCGTTAAATAATTATCCTTGAAGCAAGTACTATTAAAATGCATCCTTCGAGTCAGTACCATTAAAGAAATGTTATTCTGGTTCGATGAGATCTCTTTCTCGATGTAGGGTATCGAGAAGTATTAACCTAAAAATATGTCGCCATAAAGTATTGTTTACAACCGGTGCAATTGAAATCAGAGAAATAAACGGGGAGGGAAAATAAGGTCGTAAACGGATGTTTACAAGTACATCAATTTAAGTGCTCACCAAATGGCCATGACCCTGAAATTAAATTTTTTTTTCACCGCGGATGTGGAGCGCCAAAGAGCCGTTTTGGAGTGAGCCCGTTACTTCCGCTTATTAATGCCCTCACACACCGGGTGTACGTCAAGATCTGCATCATAATGCTCGACCGGAATCCCGAAAAGAGAGTGACTAAGTCGCCCGTTGACATAACCTCTAGAACGGAAGAGGGACGCCATGGGAGCGTCATTATCCCATTCCGTTATGGTAAAGGGGAGGAATGGAAAGAAAAAAAAAATTGCCCAAGAGATTAGCCACGGTTGTATATACCTACTATGTATATGGGCATGTCTATGTACTACATATACATGCCCTAAAAAAAGTTAAGAAAAATACAAATGCGTTAAAAACAATTGCACGGTTTCGTCCTAACCATCCCTTCAGGGAGTAAAAAGGGGTAAAATGTGTTTTTCCAAATTTTATTACCTAATAATATATAATTTTA